CCATCATCTGGGACTCCCTTCCTCATGGCCCTGGGGAGTCCCTTGTCTCTCTTCCATCTATGATCCCTGTTCCCTGGATCTCTGCTCCAATTTGGGGGAGTAGCTTCTTGAGAAAGGGTACACAGGAGGTAAATTTTCTGGAACCCAGTATATCTGCAAACATCTTTATTCCACTTTCACACTTACTGGAAAGCAAACTGGGTGTAGGTCTCCAGTTTCCAGAGAAGTCCAACATCACTGTGATTCCTGAACATTTCTGTTTTTTCTCTCTCCAAAAGCCTGTAGGATCTCCTCATTCTCCCTTTTGTTCTGAAATTTCTGTGGGTCTTTTTTTTTATTTCACTGTCCCAGATCCCAGTGGAATCTTTTCATCAGGAAATGCTTATGTTCTTTGATTCTAAGAGTCTTTCATAATTTCTTCATTTTATTCTATGTGCCTTCTACTTTCCATCCTTTTGCCTTTAATTGTTGTACTTTCTTAAGATTTCCTCAACTTTGTCTTCTAACTTTCGTACTGAAGGATTTTCAAAATTAAAATTTCAAATTTCTGCTGTCACATTTTGTAGTTAAGGAAAAAACTTTTTTTGGAATGTTCTTTTTTAAAATGGCATCCTAATTTAATCACTTGCTTATTTTCTCCTACTGTTTTGAGAATACTGATAAGTGTCTTACTGTTATATCCTGCTCTGAGCACTGCCTTTATTTCTCCAAAATCCGTTTTCCATTTCCTTTTTGGGTGTGTCTTTGTGTTAGAGATGTTCTTCAAACGTCCAGTGACCCTTGGATGTCCACTCATATTTAATGGCAGGTCTCCAAAAGGCCCGTCGGAAGACCTATGAGTTGCAGTGAACTTCACTATGGGGTGATCAAGGGGGGCCCCAGGTGTTAGGCTGGGAAACCCCAAACCTGAGTATCTCATTATCTTCTCAGGAATACTCTGATCTCCTGCTGGGGGCTGTGGGCAGTGGGTTCTTGGCCTCACAGCCAAGAATTCTAAGGCATTCTCAGAGTCTCACTGCTGAGTAGTCCTGAGGTTCTATAAGGCACCTCGTTCCCATTTTCGGCTATGGCTAGTATGCCCCATTCCAGTGCTTCTCTGGGTCTCCCTTTCCTTCCAGAAACCTCCCATTTTCTGTGGGGACAGGGGGAGGAGTGCTAGCCTGGTATCATGGGCTGGAGAAGGGATCTGGAAAGTACTATCTCCTGTTACAGACTTTCAGACAATCCTCTTCTTGTTCAGCTATATTCCTGCCATCTGAGATACCTGGTGCCTCAAATTCCTGTCTTTCGTGGGGGTCACGGCACAATTCCTCACAGACATTTGACAGAGTAAGGAAACCAGAAACCTCATCAGTGTATTAGTTAGAATCGATCAGGCTATGCTGTGCTAACAAACCACCCCTAACCCCCAGGCTTAAAACAACAAAGGCTGGTGCCCTGTCACACCACATGTCCAAAGGGTCGGCAGGGAGCCCTGCTCAACTCAGTCCCCTGGGCCTCCTGCCAATAGAGGCTCTGCAGTCTGGTGACAATGCATCTTAACATGAGGCTTCAGGGGAAGAAGCCTGCTCTGCTTCCACCACAGCCCTGCTCTCTACTCTGAAAGATTCTTTCACCTCAGAGAGATCCGTAGGCTGTGGGACTTTTCAGAACTGGTCACTCATTAATAATATTTTTCAAGAAGGGGGATGGAAGGTTGTTTTCAAACATATCTGGAAAAGAAAAGGCCTTTACTAGAAGCAAAACACTTATAAGTATTTTTTAAGTGTTCAGAAAAGTTATTTTCACTCCACGCTGAGCATCTAGTATGTGTTCAACCAGTTCTTGCCAATGAGACTCCTACCTTCTCACTCTGTACAACTCACCAAGCAGACAAATGCAAGTTTGCTCCAAGTGAAGAGAAAAATACTGAAGCTCTGAGGCAATTAAAGGTAGGGTTAAAAGCAGATTTAGTTATCAGCAGTTATTCCTGGCAAGTAGTAATACAGGTGATTTTTATTTCCTTCTCTTTGCTTCACCATACTTTCCAATCATGCCATTTTGAGACTGCACTGATTTGTAATAAGAATTTCAGGGCCAGATCTCTGCCCTTTTCCAGTCTGACCATAAGTAGGCAGCCAGTGTTGTTAAAACCATGCCTGTGGCTAATGAAAGATTTAGTTGTCTCAAGGCCACAGATATTACATGGAGAGGCTGCCTACATGGTATTTTTTTCCCCTTTAAATCAGTGATTCTTAATCTTTGAATTGTGAAAATTCAAATCTTAAGAACTGTGATTTGAATTGTGGGGAAAATTTATAAAACAAAGCAAAACACAACAAAAACAGATCCTGGGGTCCTATCTTAGGTATTCTCAACTGGAAAAGAAAGGCAGTCATTCATATTTTTAATAAGTACCTTCCAGACAGACTTCAGACCACCCTTTTAACAGTGCTTTTCCATTTTCTACAACAGTGGACATTGAATAAGCATTCAGTAAATATTTTTTGTGCTGACATAGACATCAACAAACTGTATATATTTATATTTTTCCTCCATAATACCATCAAAGAAATGCAGGTCTTCCCTATAAATATGGCATGAAATGCCAGAGGAAATACAACCAATGATAAGGCTTAAAAATGGTGTACTATTTTAAAGAGGAGGTTTTTGGTTTTGTTTTGTATTAACTATTCATCACCCAGTAAGTCCTACTCACCAACTTCCTAGCATCCGGGTGAATTTATGACTGTATGGGTTTCTAAAGCATCATCAAATATCCTATAATTAATTCTATTTTTTGGATGAAACATCATACAAGAGGACTAAGCTGTGTTCCTAATTCAAATGAATAAAAGCTAACCCCTGCCTGACCCTAGTGGAGGCTGTGCTGTGGCTGTGAGGCTGCAGGGACAACGTGGTCAAGTTGGTCATTTCGAGGAACTGGTGTATGTAAGAATGCCGAAGGAGGCGGCTAGCATTTGGACCTAATGCCTCTGCCACTTCTCTGATGGCTTCCCAAGTTTCTAAAAGGATGCAGATCCTGGCCTCTTGCCAGCTCCCTGCTTTGACTACCTGCTCCATTTCCACTACATCTGCAAAACGTTTGCTGCACTCCCTTCCTCCTAGCTGGGAGGAACCTGGTGACAGCTGGAGGACACAGAGACTTCTACACAGGAGTGCACCTGTTTTTAACGGCATGATGTGAAGCCTGAATACGGACACAGAGCTTCGGGGACTAAATAGCCCAATACTGCCCCCTAGCTGAGGAGGATGCCGATGCTTTCCCTACTGGTTTCCAACCTTTCCTTAAAGGTACCAGCGATTTAATCAGCTAACAGCATATGTTGTCTGTTACTAAAAGAGGAGGTGAATGATACCTCTGACCTACACAGATGTTACATATAAGTAAAATGAATAGCTTTAAATAACGGTTTCTCAGTCCAAAAGATTTAATGAGAAATAGCCTGGCACAACCACAGAATGCAAAATTAAATGAAACTGAATTTAACTTCTTGACCCTTCTTTTACTCCAAGCTCCCATTTTAAATGAAAGTGCTTCAGAATTATTCATGAGAATGGAAAAGCGAGAGCTGGAGGAGAAGGAGACTCTTTAGGGCCAGGAAGTGGGGGCAAAGGTTAGTCTTCTTCATTTGGTTTGAATAGATTGTGACACCCACACTTGCCATATTATCAAATTTCTTGGGTATTTCAAAAATGGAAAATAAAATGTCAACAGGGGCAGCAATAGCTTTCTGTAGTCCTTCACAAGGAAGCACAATTCCATTTAAAATAAAATGTGTCTTTTATGAAGCGAGAAGGATGCCCTGGTACCACCAGAAATGAAAATTAAGCATGTACTTGAAAGCCACTGTGAGCATGGGTGAAAGAACCTCAGAAACCCCTGGCAGGAAATAGCTTGGAAAGACTTCGTTGATTCCTCCAGAGATGACACTGTCCACCCCAAACCTTAAGGGATTGCTTTAAGGCAGTGGTTCTCAAACTGTGGTCCTGGGACCTGTAGCGCCAGCACCACCTGGTATCTTGCTGGCAGCAGTGTTGAACTTCACCTGAGCCCTGTGATTCCGGAAAACAGCAAAGTTTATGGAAACCACACCTCTGTGCTTCTGTATTCCTGAAACAGCTTACTGCTAGGACACCCCCTCTCTATATAGGTAAGACTCAGAAGTGCCCTCTTGTTTACCTCTGATAAGGCCAGACACAGACCCTCCAAATTTCCGTTCTTTGCCTGACAAGTGATTAGCTAAACTTCTGATTAATTAGAACAAAATATTTGTTAACCACCTTTGGTTAAACTCCTTCCTCTAGGTCCCTGAAGTTTGGCCACCCCTCCTCAGCTGCCCCTCTGGAGAACAGGCTGCTCTCAGGTAAAAACAGCCTCTCATCTGCAATGCATTCAAGTCATGCTTTCATCCTGCATTCTCACACCTGGTCTTTCTAGCCTTGTTTATGCCCCTATAAAAGAACCCCCTTTGTTGCCTAACCCTAGAGACACTGGCAGATATTCTAGAGAGAGGTTCTCCTATTGCAATTGTTCCTCTTCTCCTTATTAAAGTAACTCTCTCTCCTTTGCCAGAATCCTTCCCAATAAAGTCTCTCCTTACTCAGTCCTGGACTTGTTTTTTATTTGACATTAGAAATATAAGTTCTCAGGCCCCACACCAGACCTTCTAAGTGCGAAACCAGAGGGTGGAGGGTGGTGCACCCAGCGATCGATTTCTGAACAACTCTTTAGGAGCAGTTTGGGAACTCCCGGTTTACAGCAATCCCTGTAAGGCTCTGATAGACGCATTCAGCACTCTTACTCCCTCCCACCTGCATTCCACTCATGTGCATTTCAGCGCCAGCTGTTTCCGAGGCTTACGGTGGACACGTTATAAGCCTCTCCACAGTCCATTTATCTCATCAAGTCATTTTCCAATTACAAACAAGGCCACACAGCACACGTCCTGCTCCGGCTGCACGTGGAGCAGAGCCCGCCCGAACCCGCACATACTCACATCCCCATCCACCGGCCTCTGGTCGTCACAGTCCCTGGTGGGGCTAATGTCCTGGCGCATGACCCAGATGGGTTCTTTGGGCTCGTCGGGGGTGTAAGGCGAACGGATGGTCCTGGTTTTCACCTCCTCGATGGCCTCCTTGATGTCCTTGATGGCCAGAGAGATGGCATCCCTCTTCTCCTTGCTGTACCGCTGCACCACCTCGCCTCCCGCGGGGCCTGCAGCCCTTTGCTGCCCCGCTGGCGCCTGCAGCCCGGGGATGTCGGGGTGGCCCCCGCCCGGAGTAGGGGCACGCTCCAGGTCCTGCTCAGCCTCGGGCATGTCCTCGGCCACCTTGTCGAGGCTCTGCGAGCTCATGCTCTGCTTGACCTCGGCCACGATCTGGTCGATGTCCTCCTCCTGCTCGTAGCTGTCCATGCGCGGGTAGGGCGCGAATTCTGCCTCTTTCTCGGGGCTGTCGGACTCGCCGTCGGAGCGCTCATCGTAGTGGTGCAGCCGCGCGCCCAGGGCCTCCTGGCGGTAGGCGGCGGCCTCGTCGCGCTCCTGCTCGTACAGCCGCAGGCCGTCGCGCACATCCAGCTCGGGCGCGTCCCCAATCTCCTCGTACACGTGCTCCTGGAGGCCCCCGTAGTCAGCGTACGGCTCGGCGTAGGGCTCGTCCTCACCGCGGTGGAAGAGCCGGTGCGTGTAGACGTAGCCTGAGTAAGCCGCGTTCATGGCCTCCTCGTGCTCCAGCGAGTGGAAGTGCAGGTGGTTGGGCAGCGCAGGGCGGTGCGTGGCCTCGGCGTGCTCGGCCTCCGCCTGCTCCGTGTACTCCTCGGCCTCGGGCCGGTACTGCACGGCATACGCGCTCTCGTCCTCCGGGTCCTGCGCGCGCTCCGCGTCGTAGCCGTCGCGGGCCGCGGCGATCACGTCGCCCTCGGCTGTGTCGGTGTGGTTGTGGAAGCCACTCTCCGTGCTGGCCGAACGCGCCAGGCACTCCCCGCGCTCCTCCTCCTCCTGCGGCCCAGGCTGGGCGCGGAGGTCCTCGACGGCGCGGCCGCGCAGGGGCCGGCCCGCATAGTGGTGCTGCTGTTCCTCCTCCACCTCGGGGTGCTCCAGGTCAGCCTCCACCGACTCGTTCACCTCCCCGCCTGCCGCCTCGTCGGTCACCTCCACCTCCACGGACGCCTCCAAGTGGTTCATGGTGGGCGTCGGGACGGCTGGGGGAGAGGTTGGGCGAGAGGCTGGGCCGGCTCACTGCGCTCTCATTTTGCTCCACCCGGCTGCAAAAACAGGAAGGGGAGGGACTGTTACGTGGTTCAGACTGTAGTCATGGGCTGAGAATCAAGATAACCATAAAAACAGTTGCTATTGATCCCTCTGAATCTGGGTCAGTTAAAAAATGATTGCAAATTTAAGCACAATCTTGACAGCACATAGTTCATTTTCTTTGTAGCACGGATTGTAATTTGTAATTAACATATCTACTTGTTATTGCTTACTGGCTTTCTGCTTTCTCCACCCCTCAGACTGGGAGCTTCCTGAGCATGTTGTTCTCCACCAGGCTTACTATTCAGGTTCCATTTCTGATGCATATGAACAAAGAGTACTACTAAATTGAATGGGCCAATTGACACATTTTCCATCTGCTCAGGGATAAATCTCTCTCTATTAAACTAGGATCCTAGATACTTCAAGGAGATGTTCTTTAAAAAAATTTCAAGGAAAAAAAAAATCTCGGAATGTTTTGAAGCCATTGCTGTCAATACCAACATATGGCCATTCTGAGGAAGGCTGTCCACCACCAGTAGTCTCATCTCTCGTTCCTGGCTCTTAGCTCTGACAAATGGCTTAACCTTCTGGACCTCCACTATGGGACTGGACTCATTTCCTACAGCAGGATGTTAGAGCTTGGCTATTGCACAGGGGAAAAAAGACCCCATGGTCAAATAAGTTTGGGAAATGCTGACTTAGAGTGACTTGTCATTGTGATATGCAAGAGGAAGAAAAGACAAGATGCAGGGTTTCCCAAACTTGTTTGACTAGGCAACACTTTTTCTCCTAGAGGCCAGTGTTCCAACAAACACACTTTTAGAAACACTGACTAACTCACTTCCCCCATACACCCTGGATGTAAAATTCTATGACTGCGTGAATTGCCATTATAGCCCGAATGGATAATATTGCTAATTTTAAAAAAATATGGGTAGGTTTCTTTACCTATTTCCAGAGAAACTTGTAGTTAAAAGGATAGATTTGGTTTCAACTTCTCAATTCTTCTTATCACAGAATAGCCTTATAGCGTAATTTTGTGACCAGGGTATGGAAATACAAAGAATGTAAAGAACCACAAAAACAGACAAATCCCTGTGTTTTTAAGACACTGGTGGTGAATGGGTTCAACAATATGTGTAAACTTATTTTTATAGTGTTGCTTTGAAGAGCCCATGTTACAGAGAGATAAAATGGAAGGGATGTAAACTCTTTTAACAGAAGTTTCAGGAGGACCAGAGACATCTGTTGACCGTAATATTGGAATGCATTATATTCTACTCAATTCCTCACAACAGCAGCAATTTCCTTCATGTGCTGTGGCAATCTCAGTAGTGAAGGAGAGCATTTATGGGCCACCAAGTCCTCACTCAAGCAGAAGTATCAGCCCGCCTCCACTGCAACCCCCCACCGCCCATTCTTTGATGGATTCTCCCTTGACTGACATACAGTAGAAGAAAACAATTATGATTACTACAGATGATCAATCATTATTGCTTCCCTACTTGAAAAGTTGTGGCTTTCCCTCATTCACTCCTGAGAACAGTAACTGTGGACTAGGTATATAGAAGTTTTCCAAAAACAAGTATGAGTCTCCAATTCAGTCTGACGAATGGTAAAATCTCTGAACAGAAGAGGCAAGCATTGGTGCTAGGGTCCCGTGGTTAAGTGGCCTCCAGTGGATGATAGAAAATAAAAAACAGATACTCGGTCCAATACAATACATGGACAAGAACAGTCTCCCCATATCTTTATAGGGACTCTCTGGAAAAGACAGATTAAAAACTACAATTAATGTACAAATCTATGTCTGATGAACAGAAAGCATGTCTTCACTGGGAGGTGTACTGAACATACTGGATACTTTTCCAGGACTATCACCCTACAGTATGGCAGCAGTGTGTGGTCAGCGTAAGAACTACAATAATCATCCAAAAGCTTTTCCATTTTCACTTTCCTGGTGAAAATCTATTAATACACATAAAAGAAATTTTAGTTTGTTCTGGGTTAAAATTGCATTTGACCAGCAAATGGTGCCCTCTCATAGAGCACTTACTGATTGTGGGTAAAATGACAATATTTCCAGAATCTCTAGCCTGGCTTTAGTGCTCCATATCAACAGGTGTTTCCAAGGGGTGGGGAGCAGTAGCCATCTCCATATCAATGGGTAATTACGTGGGTGAGTGAGGGCTTATCTGGACTGGAGAGGTTGTGGAGAGGATTCGCTCACTTCCACTACAGCAGGAGAGAGGAGACACAGGATGACTGCTTGTAAGCAATAAATGAGTTTTAAACTTTATTTCTCCCTTTGACTGATTTCGGTGTCAAAGGTATTTTGCCCCAGGATTTCCCCTCCCCAGAGTTACACTGATTTAAAGGAAATAGGATTCCCATGCATGTACATACACTAAATCATGGTAGTACAAGAAACCTATTTTTTTGGGGAAAATACTGTTCAAATGATGTTGTGTGGCACAGTGGAGCTTTCTGTTCACTGAGTGCATTCTTCCCAGACCCCTACCCCTAGCCTCAGGGGAGTATTCCTGCATGGAGTGTTTACATTTCATTCACTCTCGTGGCTTCAAGTACATAGTTTGGGTCATGGTATTGGCAGCATGTTAACTACTAACAGACATTGATTTGAGGGATTTCCCTAGAACAAAGGAACTAATAACTTCTACCAATGGAGCTACTACTGGCGGTCAGGTCCTTCGGTAACACTTGAGAGGATTATTCCCCATACCCTGGGAACTTTGGGGTTACTATTTATTTAAAAATACTGAGTTTGTTTCTAAAGAATCCTAGGTTATTGTTGGAAAAATGTATTGGTGCAACTTTTTTTGAAAAGCAATTTGGCAAGATGAATTTAAAATCTTCAAAAGGTAACATAACTCTGCCCTGGTAATTTTACTTACAGAAATCTAAAGGAAAAAACTCAAAAGTGGAGGAAGAATTTCCTTACAGTAGTTGCTTAAAAAGACAGATTCTAAATACTCAATATTAAGTGCTAAGATTTATTAAGTACATGGCATCATGTTGCGATCCCAGGAAGATGTGGATCTTTCCCTGGGATTTCCCTGCTGTGGAGCACCACCTGGGATTCCCACAGCACACAGCTCCACCTGCCAGAGCTGAACAAGCCATGCCTCCTCACCCTCACTCCCCGGCCCAGCTCCCAAACCTGGACCCCCTCTTTTAGTTCCTGTAGGGCTGAATGGTCACCCAGCATCAAATCCAGGAGTCATTTCTGACTCTTCCTCTCACCTCCTTCCCTAAACTGATAACTGAGTCCTTTATCTTAAAAACTCTCACATATTCACTGCCACTGTCTCATCTGGGTCCAAATCACCTACACAATTGTTCCTTGACTAATTTCTCAACTTTCTCCAGTCCATCCTCCCCACTGCTGGCCTGATGATCTTTCCAAAATATATGTCTGAATCCCATGACTCTGTTTCTCAAACTGTTCAATGAATCTCCTCTACTGCATAGTACGAATCTTAGCTAACAAAATACCAGGCAGTACTGGGCTTTTTCTACATGACTCACACTAGCTGATGGACAGAGAACTCTTCTACTCTCTTCAGAGAATTATCAGCTCTTCTAAAATGGAAAAATGGAGGCCCAGTGGGTGAGGTGACTGCCCTAGGTCCCACAGCTGGTAAGCAATGGAATTGGCAGAGCTGGTGTCTGACCCCCACTTGAGCTCTAGGCTCTGGGCTCTTGAGTTGTATCCCCTGCAAACCAGCGTGGGGCCACAGTGCTCCTTCAGTGCCATTGCCACAATTCACCTGTACCCTGTGTTTTACCGACCCTATCACTGGCCCTAACCGCCTTCCCGATTCTCAGCAAATTTCTCACCTGTCACTTTTCTTTGGTGAACTTTGTCTTCCCCAGAGGAAGTTCATACTTGATGAATGGCTATTATGAGCCAGCCTCCATGCAATGTTCTAGGCATGGGGGCAGAGCAGAGACCAAGTCAGACAGGCTCCTTGTTCTCATGGAGCCCCCATTCTAGTGCATGGAGTGGGGAGTGAAGGGAACAGATGATGATTACACCAAAAAACAGACAAGATCACTTCAATAGTGAACAGGCTTACAGAGAAAATAAAACAGGGTAAAGGCACAGAAAGTGACTCTGGAGAGAGGATTATGTTGATAGTGGGCATCTGCAGGAGTTTCGCACCCCTAGTTCTGGAATGTTCCACAGCTGGGCTGGAAATCGTGAACAAAGGGAAGGAACTCCACTGCACTGCACCACTAAGCAATAGAACATTTCATGATCGAGCAATTGAATCCAGGTATCTCATAATGTTGGCTGAGGCTCCTGTCGGTTTGTTATTAATAGAAGGGGCAGCTGTAAGTTATTTTGGTTGATCTGTCCTTAAGTAGTCATTGATAAAAGTTTCCAATAGACTGCCCCTTTTAACACTTTGAAGTAGCTTTAGAAGAAGGGCCAGATGAAGACAAAATGCAATGTGAAAAATAACAAAAGAAATCATACCAGGTTGTTAGCACAGAAGGTATTGATTGAGGGGTTAGTAATTAGTGTAAAGAAAGCACATAAAGGTAGGGGGTGAGGTGAGAATGGGAAAGGAAGAAGACTAGCCATTCAGTCCCCTGAAAAAAGACTAGAATTAACAATATGATTCCATTTATATATGTTTTTATACTTCTGTATATATTCAAGAAGTACAGTGAGCTCCTGTGGACTTAACGAGTGATGCTTGGCTTCTCCTGCTGGGCTTGGAAGGAAAGTCCTATTTTCTGAGACTGCAGCCTATCCTAATCCACCTGCACACAGACAGTTCCAGTCAACATGACATCTCCCACCATGCTACTGGAGGAGCCACGCATGACCCTGAGATGTGGCAATGTTTTAATTTCCATAGCAACAACCGGTTGTGGTTGCCAAACAGTATTCTGCCCTGACTGCAGTCCATGCACACATGTGCATACACACATACATCTACATACATTGGGAAATTAATGGTTATCATAAAAAAAAAGG